AGGACACTCATCATGGAGCACACGGGAGGTCTGAGGTAGTGGCTGTAAGCACTCAATCGCGATGAACGTATTTCATCCTAACAACCCTAGGAGGGCAGCACTGTTATCATCCCTTTTTTTTTTTTTTTTGGAGAGATTTTCACTGTAGGGCGCGTGCGCTCGCCAGACAGACAGAGAGAGACATAGAGACAGAAAGCGAGAAATCACCCCCCAGGGGGGATGGTCACGCCGCAATCCCTTCTCCTCCATTCTCCTCTTGGGATCTTGGGCATGCACGCACACGCGCCCGGCATGAGTTTTAAGCCACCGGGTCCGGGACACGAACCGCGGTCGACTACGTGGGAGTCCAGCGACATAGCCATTACGCTAACTGCTGGTTCCCCTTATCATCCCATTTAATAGATGAGGGAATGCGAGCTGAGAGTCACACCAGGCCAGGGCGATGGTGCAGGCTCAGGGCTTACCCTAAACTACACGCTTCGCGGTGGATCTGGAGCGCGTCCAGTGGAAGTCCCTCCTGCTGTCTCGCTGCCTTCGCCTGCTCTTGCTCTCTGCCTTCTGTGCAAAGGGACCGACCTCCTGCTCCCAGAGGTCCCTTCCCCATTCCCTCTTCCAAGGAAGGGCCCAGGCACGGTGGATGAGGAGGCTCCCACCACAGAGCACTAGGCCCGTGGTGGCAAAGAGCAAGCAGATGAGCTGGGGTGGGCCCGGTGTGGGCGCAGAGGTCAGGCGGGCAGGGATGCTGGGGCCGAGCAGGCGAGCAGGCGAGCAGGCGGGACTGGGATCTGGAGGCCTGGCCAGGGCCCAGCTGATTTGCATCTGAGGTGGAGGAGAGAGACATGTCAGCTCATTCTTGACTGTAAACACATCTCCGTTCCCACGCCTCTGATCATATTCTGGTGGCGGCCCCCACTCCCCTCCCCTTTTCCTATCCACCCCCCGTCTGCTCCCCCACCCCCATAACCATGCTATTAAAAGGAAGATGCAGGCCAGCCACAATGGTGCCGTGAGATGCACCACTCAGACCCAGAAGCCACATGGGAAGTCCCGGGTTCACGTCCCAAGGTCTTCCTTCACAGGCTGGGCACACGTGCCTGTGAACCTGGCTATGGAGGCTGGGGTGATTGCAGCATGAGGACCTTGCTGGGGTGCCACTCTGTCTGTGTCTCTCCCCCTTCAAAGCAAGAGACGAATAAACTTAAAGGAAAAAGAAGATGCAAAGGCCCTGAGCTTCCCATCTGTCTGGGCTTGGCATAGACTGAAACCATCGGGAGACCTCTGCCAGCAGCCTCGGTTGGGCTCCTAGCTCTGACTACTGGCTGTGTGGCCTTGGGGAGGTTTCCTACCCTCCCTGTGCTTTCTCATCTGTAGAGAGCAACACCTATCACAATGGGCTGACGTAGGCTTTAAACAAGATGGTCCATGTAAATTGCTCAGCGCCCTGTCTGTCCTGACAGTGACTGATCCCTGAGGTCATATTACCGTTTTTGTTATGAGGGATGGTGTTTGGGTTCCTCAAACCAGAGCTTGGAAGAAGGAGGCAACTAGGAGAAGGGGAGGGGGCCTCTGCCTGAGCAGTGAGTCTATAGTGGGGAGGGTTGGGGTCCCCCTCATTGAGAGCATGGTGCACCCCTGCGCAGGGCAGGGCAGGGCCGGGAGCCAGGAGCTGTCTGAGTCAACCCCTCCCCCCAGGGATTGAGCAGTCCCAGGAGCCTGTGCTGCTAGGGCTGGGGGTGGTGGTGGTGGAGGGATGGCCAGGGCCTCAGGTACCCTAACCCCTCGGTGACAGCTCACATGGCACTAGCTGGAGTCCCGGTGGGGAGCTCTGGGATCCTGGGCCAGCCTGTGTTCTCAGGGGCTGAGAATGGTGAGGCCCAACCCTCCCTCTCCCTGCCAGGACCCCCATCTCATCTCTCCTGGCCCTACTGGCCGCCCACTCGTCTCTCCTGCCCCATCTTGGCTTCCAGCCCTGGACTGACCAGCTGATGCCTCCTCCGCACTCCAGCCCCACCCCGAGGATCTTCGGGAAAACAGAACCTCCCCATCCCCACAACCAGCTCCCCTCCCAGCTGGCCCGAGCCCACCTTCCTCATGCTCCTCCGTCCTCCTCCATCTCAAAGCCCCCAGGTGAGCCGTTTCCTCCAGAAGTTGGTTGGGAGGTGACAGGGACCCCTCACAGTCACTCAGGGTCTGGGGGTGGCTGATGTGAATGAGAGGGAGGACTTTCGGACTGGACAGCTCGCCCCACCTTGCAGCTCCTCCTTGTACCTCAGCTTCAGCCCTTCCCACCTGTGGAGCTGTCCACCCGCCGCGGCATGGGCTCTGGAGACAGCTCTGGGGCCAGGAAGCTGGAAGACCCTTGTGTGACTTAGGAGATCAGGCTCACCCAGGGTTGGGCCAGCAACGGTTATGCCGCTGGACTCCCACATGGCTGACCGTGGTTCCCCCGTCTGCTCCCCCACCCCCATAACCAGTCTATTAAAAGGAAGATGCAGGCCAGCCACAATGGTGCCGTGAGATGCACCACTCAGACCCAGAAGCCACATGGGAAGTCCCGGGTTCACGTCCCAAGGTCTTCCTTCACAGGCTGGGCACACGTGCCTGTGAACCTGGCTATGGAGGCTGGGGTGATTGCAGCATGAGGACCTTGCTGGGGTGCCACTCTGTCTGTGTCTCTCCCCCTTCAAAGCAAGAGACGAATAAACTTAAAGGAAAAAGAAGATGCAAAGGCCCTGAGCTTCCCATCTGTCTGGGCTTGGCATAGACTGAAACCATCGGGAGACCTCTGCCAGCAGCCTCGGTTGGGCTCCTAGCTCTGACTACTGGCTGTGTGGCCTTGGGGAGGTTTCCTACCCTCCCTGTGCTTTCTCATCTGTAGAGAGCAACACCTATCACAATGGGCTGACGTAGGCTTTAAACAAGATGGTCCATGTAAATTGCTCAGCGCCCTGTCTGTCCTGACAGTGACTGATCCCTGAGGTCATATTACCGTTTTTGTTATGAGGGATGGTGTTTGGGTTCCTCAAACCAGAGCTTGGAAGAAGGAGGCAACTAGGAGAAGGGGAGGGGGCCTCTGCCTGAGCAGTGAGTCTATAGTGGGGAGGGTTGGGGTCCCCCTCATTGAGAGCATGGTGCACCCCTGCGCAGGGCAGGGCAGGGCCGGGAGCCAGGAGCTGTCTGAGTCAACCCCTCCCCCCAGGGATTGAGCAGTCCCAGGAGCCTGTGCTGCTAGGACTGGGGGTGGTGGTGGTGGAGGGATGGCCAGGGCCTCAGGTACCCTAACCCCTCGGTGACAGCTCACATGGCACTAGCTGGAGTCCCGGTGGGGAGCTCTGGGATCCTGGGCCAGCCTGTGTTCTCAGGGGCTGAGAATGGTGAGGCCCAACCCTCCCTCTCCCTGCCAGGACCCCCATCTCATCTCTCCTGGCCCTACTGGCCGCCCACTCGTCTCTCCTGCCCCATCTTGGCTTCCAGCCCTGGACTGACCAGCTGATGCCTCCTCCGCACTCCAGCCCCACCCCGAGGATCTTCGGGAAAACAGAACCTCCCCATCCCCACAACCAGCTCCCCTCCCAGCTGGCCCGAGCCCACCTTCCTCATGCTCCTCCGTCCTCCTCCATCTCAAAGCCCCCAGGTGAGCCGTTTCCTCCAGAAGTTGGTTGGGAGGAGGTGACAGGGACCCCTCACAGTCACTCAGGGTCTGGGGGTGGCTGATGTGAATGAGAGGGAGGACTTTCGGACTGGACAGCTCGCCCCACCTTGCAGCTCCTCCTTGTACCTCAGCTTCAGCCCTTCCCACCTGTGGAGCTGTCCACCCGCCGCGGCATGGGCTCTGGAGACAGCTCTGGGGCCAGGAAGCTGGAAGACCCTTGTGTGACTTAGGAGATCAGGCTCACCCAGGGTTGGGCCAGCAACGGTTATGCCGCTGGACTCCCACATGGCTGACCGTGGTTCAAGTCCCGGACCTGACAACTTGAAACTCATGCCGTGTGCATGTGTGTGTACCCAGAATTCCAGGAGGAGAATGGAGAAGGGATTGCAGCATGGCCATCTCCCCTGAGGGGTGATTTCTCACTTCCCATCTCTGTCTCTGGCAAACGCACACGCCCTATAAGAAAAATCCCTCTTAAAAAAAAAAAAAAGATTCACCCAGAGTCAGGGTGATGACCCTGGCTCCACACAGAGCTCCTGTCCTTGAGGGGCCCCATGCCCAGGCCAGAGCTGGGGGTCAGGGAAGCGTGGAGTATGAAGACCAAGAGACAGGTGGAGATATAGGACGGCTCGGGTCCTGCCCTGGCCTGGCCCCACGTGCCGTTGAGGGAGACGTGGGGAGAAGGCGGCCCGAGCCGCATTCAGGCCTGGAGGTGGCACTGGACCTGGGAAGGCAGCTAGCACAGGGCAGGGTGGGAAGGGACAGTCTGGCCATGCTGGGGTAGGGACGTGTGGGGGCTGTGTGGCCTTGGGGAGGTTTCCTACCCTCCCTGTGCTTTCTCATCTGTAGAGAGCAACACCTATCACAATGGGCTGACGTAGGCTTTAAACAAGATGGTCCATGTAAATTGCTCAGCGCCCTGTCTGTCCTGACAGTGACTGATCCCTGAGGTCATATTACCGTTTTTGTTATGAGGGATGGTGTTTGGGTTCCTCAAACCAGAGCTTGGAAGAAGGAGGCAACTAGGAGAAGGGGAGGGGGCCTCTGCCTGAGCAGTGAGTCTATAGTGGGGAGGGTTGGGGTCCCCCTCATTGAGAGCATGGTGCACCCCTGCGCAGGGCAGGGCAGGGCCGGGAGCCAGGAGCTGTCTGAGTCAACCCCTCCCCCCAGGGATTGAGCAGTCCCAGGAGCCTGTGCTGCTAGGACTGGGGGTGGTGGTGGTGGAGGGATGGCCAGGGCCTCAGGTACCCTAACCCCTCGGTGACAGCTCACATGGCACTAGCTGGAGTCCCGGTGGGGAGCTCTGGGATCCTGGGCCAGCCTGTGTTCTCAGGGGCTGAGAATGGTGAGGCCCAACCCTCCCTCTCCCTGCCAGGACCCCCATCTCATCTCTCCTGGCCCTACTGGCCGCCCACTCGTCTCTCCTGCCCCATCTTGGCTTCCAGCCCTGGACTGACCAGCTGATGCCTCCTCCGCACTCCAGCCCCACCCCGAGGATCTTCGGGAAAACAGAACCTCCCCATCCCCACAACCAGCTCCCCTCCCAGCTGGCCCGAGCCCACCTTCCTCATGCTCCTCCGTCCTCCTCCATCTCAAAGCCCCCAGGTGAGCCGTTTCCTCCAGAAGTTGGTTGGGAGGTGACAGGGACCCCTCACAGTCACTCAGGGTCTGGGGGTGGCTGATGTGAATGAGAGGGAGGACTTTCGGACTGGACAGCTCGCCCCACCTTGCAGCTCCTCCTTGTACCTCAGCTTCAGCCCTTCCCACCTGTGGAGCTGTCCACCCGCCGCGGCATGGGCTCTGGAGACAGCTCTGGGGCCAGGAAGCTGGAAGACCCTTGTGTGACTTAGGAGATCAGGCTCACCCAGGGTTGGGCCAGCAACGGTTATGCCGCTGGACTCCCACATGGCTGACCGTGGTTCAAGTCCCGGACCTGACAACTTGAAACTCATGCCGTGTGCATGTGTGTGTACCCAGAATTCCAGGAGGAGAATGGAGAAGGGATTGCAGCATGGCCATCTCCCCTGAGGGGTGATTTCTCACTTCCCATCTCTGTCTCTGGCAAACGCACACGCCCTATAAGAAAAATCCCTCTTAAAAAAAAAAAAAAGATTCACCCAGAGTCAGGGTGATGACCCTGGCTCCACACAGAGCTCCTGTCCTTGAGGGGCTCCATGCCCAGGCCAGAGCTGGGGGTCAGGGAAGCGTGGAGTATGAAGACCAAGAGACAGGTGGAGATATAGGACGGCTCGGGTCCTGCCCTGGCCTGGCCCCACGTGCCGTTGAGGGAGACGTGGGGAGAAGGCCAGCCGAGCCGCATTCAGGCCTGGAGGTGGCACTGGACCTGGGAAGGCAGCTAGCACAGGGCAGGGTGGGAAGGGACAGTCTGGCCATGCTGGGGTAGGGACGTGTGGGGGTGATGTGGGATGCTGTGCTGGGCCAGACTCAGGGCAGGGGCATCTGAAGGGCACGCCTGATCGTGGCCTGGCTCCTGGGGACAGTGCAGTCTCCCTTCAGAGTGGGCCACACGGTCAGCTCAGGAGCCAAGCCACCAGAAGAGGCTCTGGGCCCAGCCTTGGTGGCACAGGCAGTATCAGTAACCAGCTTGCTGGAAGTCACGTGGCTGTCTATGGTTCTGATCCAGAGTCTTCCTGAAACAGGCTGGGCACGTCAGGCCCGGGATCCTGAGCAGCTGGAGGGTTGCAGGGACAGGACTGGCGTGTGACCAGACCCATTGAAGGTGCCTCCTTCATGCACGGTATAGCTCATGAAAGAAACAAAACAAAGCAAAGCAAAACAACAACAACAACAACAAACCTTGAGGGGGAAAAGAAAAAAGACTCTCATGAAAGAGAAAAAAACCCTTAAAAACAAACAAAAAAAAGAAATAGCCCCTGGCCCTGCTCCCTTGCCCGGCATCCCACCCACTGTGCTGGGGGTGGTGGGAGGATGGAACCACCCCCTCTCCCCACCCACGGCCATGCTCCCCGCCCCCCTCCCCATATACAGCCTAGCCAGGCTCTATTTCCTGTTTTCAGGCTGCATATCCTGAGCACTGGAATCCCCCTGGACATCCCCTGGCCACCCCAGGCTCCAGGGCCCAGGCCTGCACTACCCAGCCCCAGACTCACTGAGTTGCTCAAGCCCCACCTGGTGAGTTACCTAGGCGCATAGGATGAGGGGAGGAAGCAGAGTGCTGGAGCCAGCCGCAGATCTGCCCTGGGAGAGGGCTGGGGTGGTGCTGGAAACCTGGAATGGGGAGGATGGAGGGCCAGCCCGGCAGATGCCAGGGTGGACACTCCTGGCTGGAGGACTGAGCTGGAGTGGAACCCAGCGGGTGCGATGGGGTTAAGTTGGGGAGCGGCTCTCACTCTGACCTGGAGGGCAGGAAGGGCCGCCTTGATTGGAGAGCAGGGCTGCAGGCAGGACCCTGAGTGTGTGGGTGGGGGGCGCCGGGTGGGGCCAGGCAGCAGGCATTCCAGAGATACTGGGGGGGGGGTGTAAGGGGCCAGCAACAGCGACCTTTCTCTCTTCAAAAAATTACAAGCAGATGTGGGCGCCCCAGGGAAGTGTAGAGCAGGGAGCCAGGGCAAGTTTTAGGAACACCGCTGGAATCTGAAGCCAGCCAGGCCTGGGGGCAGGCACTCAGCTCAGCCTATTCTGAACTCAGGAGCTGAGAGACTGGAGGTGCTGGCGTCCATCCCCTTCCCACCCACTGGGCCAGGCAGGGCGGGACGGACATGCAGAGGAGCCCATTTCCAAACAGCTCATGGGGTGCTGTCCTTAAATCTGAGGCCTGGTTGGAGCTGGCTGCGGTGGAGTGCTGGCGAAGTCTGACAGCTGGCCCTGGTGCCCATCCCCGTGGTGTAAATACCCCCTCGTGCATGGTTGCCGCTCATGCCATGTCACTGAACACGGACTAGGGAAGAGGTCGGAGGTTCCCTGAACTCAGTCCCACTCCCACCCCACATAGCCGGAAACCCAGCCAGCATTTCATCGGGGCACTCTTGACCCCCGCCTACGTACGTCCAGGGACGGGAGCTCACCACGCGGGCGGCCGTGTCCATTGCCGAAGCTCCCTGACTGTCAGAAACTCCTTGCTCTAAGGGAGCCTGAGTCTGTCTCCCTCATGAGTCCCCTCACTGGTACGGGTTTCACACCTTGGTGCAAATATCAAAGTGGCTAGAAGTGGCTAGCTACGGGCTGGGCTGGGAGCTGCTGACTCAGGTAGGGGCGCTGGTCCCTGCCTCTGGAGGTCTCGGTCAGGAGCAGACACGAGAACACTGGTGTGTGGACAACACTGGTGTGTGGACGAATGGTTCTGGGGCCCCAGAAAGAACGGACAGTGCAGAGGAGCAGGATGGAAAGAAGGAGGGCCCTGGAGCTAGACTTTGAAGGATGAGGGCCAGCGCATGGCATGCGGGTTAAGGCAGCTGGGCCCTACACAATGGACTATGGCAGGTTCGGGTTCCGGACCCAGCGGCTTGAGAAGTATGTTGGGTGCGTGTGTCTCCCTGTCCCTCTCCTGCAAGAGCACGTGTCTCACAGCCGAGTAAAGAAGGAAGGGTGAGAAGTTCAGACTGAGGGGTGGGGGTGTCTAAGCAAAGTCTGGAGGCATGAGAGTGCCTGGTCTTTTCAGGAGTAAGACCTAGGGGAGCTGGAGCCCAGGAAGCATGGGACCAGGACAGAGAGGGTGGCCTCGTCTCTGTCTTAGTCTTTGTTTTTGGAGAGGTTTCTGCTATAGGGCACGTGCGCTCGCCAGGCAGACAGAGAGAGACAGAGAGACAGAAAGCGAGAAATCACTCCCCAGGGGGGATGGTCACACCGCAATCCCTTCTCCTCCATTCTCCTCTCGGGATCTTGGGCACGCACGCACACGCGCCCGGCGTGAGTTCTAAGCCACCGGGTCCGGGACGCGAACCGCGGTCGACTATGTGGGAGTCCAGCGACAGCCATTACGCTAACTGCTGGTTCCTTGTCTTAGTCTTTTTATTTAAGTTTTTCTGCCATAGGATGATTGCGCGTACTGGAGAGAGAGGGAAAGTGGGACACCCCCCCCCAGGGATGGCCACACCACAATCCCTTCTCCTCCATTCTTCTCTGAGGATTTTGGGCACATACACGAGGATTTTGGGCACACACACACACACACACACACACACACACACACACACACACACACGCTTGGAGTGATTTTCAAGCTGCCCGGTCCAGGACTTGAACTATGGCCAACCATGTGGTGGCTTAACCACTACGCCACCTGCTGGCCTTCAGCCTCATCTCTTTGCATGCCCACTGCTCAGATCTTTGCAGACAGGTCCCCCTTATCTGCTCTGCACCTTTCTGTTGTAGATCTCTGCAATGTCATCACTTCTGTGTCCCCTCCTTGTCCTCGTCCTGGGCCTGAGGCTGGCTGGAACTCTCAGCCCCAATGACCCCAATGTCTGCAGCTTTTGGGAAAGGTAAGAGGGGCCTTGCTTCACCCCCACACCCTAGCTCCTGGACCCTCCTACTGGGGCTCCTCTTCCTGTTCCTTCTCCCGCCTCTCCCATCTCTCCTGCCCCTTCTCTCCCTCCTGTTTCTGTATCTGCTCTCTCTGCTCCCCTCTCTGGGCAGCCTGAGTCCATCCCCATCTCTGACCTTGTCTTGGTCCCCATCCCATCTCTGTTCCTGTCCTTTCTCTGTCCCTTGATCCCTGTGGGAGGGAAGGGGCCGCTCACTGTGGGACAAGCAGAGGTGCTGGTCCAGTAGAGGCAGCAAAGGGCTCAGGGCTGGGAACGCCAGGGCAGCCTTAGCCAGAAACGCTTCGGCCACCTCCACCAGCAGGTCACATGAGTTCCAGCTCAGCCTTCCCATACGGGAGGGGAGGACTGGCCCCCTGGGGGGGGGGGCGGGGCCCGTGGAC